CTACATCACAAGTGTCGCTGCCAACAGGCGTATCAGGCAGACCGAGTTTTATTCCTTCGGTTTCCATGGGTGTTTCCATGCCGGAGACGGTGACATCATTTCCGACCTTGGTGACGCAGAAAGGAATACCCGAGACATTCCCATCCCTTGTTCCTTTTGTGCCGGCGAGTCCAGTGTCACTTCCGCCCAGTACGTTTAGTCCAGGGATGCCCTCGCTTACAGGGGGACCTTCTGTGTCAGGAACATTGACTGGATCTCAACCTTTGTTTCTCACGCAAACGCTTCCACTTCGTTTCCTCCGGGACTGGCCGTCACGCCAACCACTGAAGTCTCCTTCCCTTCGGGTGCAGCAGGTGTACCAACCCTCGTTGTTCCATCAGTGTCAGTAGGTGTATCAGTGCCAGAGATAACTGGCACACCCCCATCCACCGGTCAGAAAGAAAGTACCGCGATGATGCCATCTGGTATGTTCACTGTCCCCACTGGTGAAATATCTGGTCCTTCTTTTTTACCAGGCATATCAACGGCTGTGGCGCCTAGTTTTCCAGCAGGTGTTTCCATTCCTGGTGTACCAACCATGGAGGCACCGCCATTATCTGTCATTCCAGGCCAGCCTACAGCTATCGTTCCCACAGTGTCAGGAGGGTTCTCTGTGCCAGGCACAAAGCCTGGTAGTTCCCAACCTTTACCACATGAAGAATTTACCACTCGGGTACCATCAAGTGCTTCAGGTGCCCCGGCTATGGAGGCTTCACCACCTTCTGGTGTTCAAAGTCAGCCGACAGCCATTGTACCCTCGGTTACCGTAGGAGTTTCTGTACCAGAGACAGAGACCAGTACTATGCCGTCTTTTCCTCACGAAGAATTTTCTACCCATTTCCCATCAGGGCCGTCAGGAATACCATCTACAGAGGTGCCGCCAATATCCGGCATTACGAGCCAGCCTACAGTTATTGCTCCCTCTGTTACAGTAGGTGTCTCAGTGCCGGAGGAAGAACCTGGTAGTTCACAGACTTTGCCACATGCAGAAATTACAACTCCGATACCATCAGGTATTTCAGGTGTGCCGATTACGGAGATATCGCCACCTCTCGACGTACAAAGCCAGCCAACAGCCATTGTGCCTTCACTATCTGTAGGAGTTTCTGTACCAGAGGGAGAGGCTGGTAGTGTGCCGTCTTTCCCTGTTGAAGAGTTTTCTACTCCTTTCCCATCGGGACCATCAGACATACCAACCACAGAGACGCCGCCACTCTCTGGTGTTCCAAGTCAGCTTACAGCTATAGTTCCCTCTGTGACAGCAGGCCTCTCTTGGCCAGAGACAGAACCAGGTAGCTCGCAGACTTTGCCCCACGGAAAAGTCACGGCACCCTTCCCGTTAGGTCCATCAGGCTTACCATTCACAGAGGCACAATTACCTTCTAGTAGTCCAGCTCACCCTGCAGGTATGGTTTCATCGGTATCTCCTGGTGTATCTGAACCAGGCACTAAGCCTGGTGGCTCACATACATTACCTTACATGCCAACAACGGAATTATCAATACCGTCTGGTCTTCAAGGCCAGACAACAGCTATAGTTCCTTCACTATCGATAGGCGTTTCTGTCCCAGAGACACACACCAGCAGTGTGCCAGCTTTCCCCCATGGAGAGCTAACCTCTTATCCAACAGGAGCTCCTGGCCAGCTAACAGCTGTTGTGCCTTCAGTATCAGTAGGTGTCTCCACACCAGAAAGTGGCGCCAATACTAGACCATCATCATCGGAAGAAGAACTGACGACAATATCCCCGTCAGGCCCATTGGTCACTTCAACAGAGAAACCAACACCTTCAGGTGCTCCAGGCCAGCCACCAGTTGCACCAACTACAGAAACAATGCCACCTGGTGTTCCGAGTCAACCTACAGTTGTCGTCCCATCCGTATCAGTTGGTGTCTCAGTGCCAGAGTCACAGACTAGCAGCCCACCATCTTCCCATAATTTTACGACTACATTATCACCAGCACCACCACATATACCTATTACAGAATTACCATTACCATCTGGTGTTCCGGCCCAGCCTACTGCAATCGTTCCCTCGATGTCGGTAGGAGTGTCAGTACCAGAGGCACCAACTGGTAGTCAACCATCCTATCCCCATAGAGAAGCTACGACACCGTTCCCGTCGGTACCAACAGTGGTTCCAACCACAGAAACAATATCATCTGGAGTTCCAGGTCAATCTACCGCTGTTGTTTCGTCAGTATCAGTTGGTGTCTCAGTGCCAGAGTCACAAACGAGCAGACCACCATCTTTCCCCTATTCAGAATTTGCGACTGAATTTCCACCAGGACCCTCAGGTGTACCTGCGACAGAGTCACCAATGCCATCTGGTGTTCCTGGGCAGCCTACTGCAGTCGTTCCTTCAGTGTCGGTGGGAGTGTCAGTACCAGAGGCACCAACTGGTAGGCAACCATCTTATTATCCGCATGAAGAATCCACGTCGCAGTTGCCATCAAATCCATCATTGGTGCCAACTACTGAGACTATAATACCTGGTGTTCCAGGGCAGCCTACCATTGCCATTCCATCTGTATCAGTGGGTGTCTCACTTCCAGAGCCACAGACTAGTAGACCGCCATCTTTCCCCTATACTGAATTTACGACTGCATTACCACCAGGACCTTCAGGTGTACCTGCGACAGAGTCACCAATGCCATCTGGTGTTCCAGCCCAGCCTACTGCAATCGTTCCCTCGATGTCGGTAGGAGTGTCAGTACCAGAGGCACCAGCTGGTAGTCAACCGTCTTATTATCCTCATGAAGAATTCACGTCGCAGTTCCCATCGGTTCCATCACTTGTTCCAACTACCGAGACAATAATGCCTGGTGTTGAAAGGCAACCTACCGTTGTCATTCCATCTGTATCAGTTGGTGCCTCACTTCCAGAGTCACAGACTAGCAGACCACCATCTTTCCCCTACTCTGAATTTACGACTGAATCACCACCACGACCCTCAAGTCTACCTGTGACAGAATCAACAATGCCATCTGGTGTTCCTGGTCAGCCTACTGCGGTTATTCCTTCGGTGTCGGTAGCAGTGTCAGTACCAGAGGCGCCGACTGGCAACCAACCATCTTATCCCCATACAGTACTCACGTCGCAGTTCCCGTCGGTCCCATCAGTGGTTCCAACAGAAGAAATAATTTCATCTGGTGTTCCAACAGAACCTACTGCCATTGTCCCATCAGTATCAGTCGGTGTGTCAGTGCCAGAGTCACAAACTAGCATTCCGCCATCTTTCCCCTATTCTGAATTTACGACTGAATTTCCACCAGGACCCTCAGGTGTACCTGCGAAAGAGTCATCAATGCCATCTGGTGTTCCTGGGCAGCCTACTGCAGTCGTTCCTTCAGTGTCGGTGGGAGTGTCAGTACCAGAGGCACCGTCTGGTAGGCAACCATCTTATTATCCGCATGAAGAATCCACGTCGCAGTTGCCATCAAATCCATCATTGGTGCCAACTACTGAGACTATAATACCTGGTGTTCCAGGGCAGCCTACCATTGCCATTCCATCTGTATCAGTGGGTGTCTCACTTCCAGAGCCACAGACTAGTAGACCGCCATCTTTCCCCTATACTGAATTTACGACTGCATTACCGCCAGGACCTTCAGGTATACCTGCGACAGAGTCACCAATGCCATCTGGTGTTCCGGCCCAGCCTACTGCAATCGTTCCCTCGATGTCGGTAGGAGTGTCAGTACCAGAGGCACCAACTGGTAGCCAACCATCCTATCCCCATAGAGAAACTACGACGCCGTTCCCGTTGGTACCAACAGTGGTTCCAACTACTGAGACAATCGTACCTGGTGTTCCTGAGCAGCCTACCGTTGTCGTTCCATCTGTATCAGTTGGTGTTTCACTTCCAGAGTCACAGACTAGTAGACCCCCATTTCTCCCCTATACTGAATTTACGACTGCATTACCACCAGGACCATCGGGTGTACCTGCGACAGAGTCACCAATGCCATCTGGTGTTCCGGCCAAGCCTACTGCAATCGTTCCCTTCGATGTCGGTAGGAGTGTCAGTACCAGAGGCACCGGCTGGTAGTCAACCATCCTATCCCATAGAGAACGTCACGACGCCGTTCCCGTCAGGTACCAATCCGTGGTTCCAACCTACTGAGACAATAGTCACCTGGTGCTTCCAGGTGAAGCCTACCACGTTGTCGTTCCATCTGTATCAGTTGGTGTGTCAGTGCCAGAATCACAGACTAGCATTCCACCATCTTTCCCCTATTCTGAATTTACGACTGAATTTCCACCAGGACCCTCAGGTGTACCTGCGACAGAGTCACCAATGCCATCTGGTGTTCCTGGGCAGCCTACTGCAGTCGTTCCTTCAGTGTCGGTGGGAGTGTCAGTACCAGAGGCACCAACTGGTAGTCAACCGTCCTATCCCTATAGAGAAGTCACGACGCCGTTCCCGTCAGTATCATCAGTGGTTCCAACCACAGAAACAATATCATCTGGTGCTCCAGGTGAACCTACCGCTGTTGTTCAGTCGGTATCAGTTGGTGTGTCAGTGCCAGAGCCACAGACTAGCATTCCACCATCTTTCCCCTATTCTGAATTGACGACTGAATTTCCACCAGGACCCTCAGGTGTACCGGCGACAGAGTCACCGATGCCATCTGGTGTTCCTGGGCAGCCTATTGCAGTCGTTTCTTCAGTGTCGGTGGGAGTGCCAGTAACAGAGGCACCGTCTGGTAGTCAACCATCTTATTATCCGCACGAAGAATCCACGTCGCAGTTGGCATCAATTCCATCATTGGTGCCAACTACTGAGACAATAATACCTGCTGTTCCAGGGCAGCCTACCGTTGTCATTCCATCTGTATCAGTGGGTGTGTCACTTCCAGAGTCACAGACTAGTAGACCGCCATCTTTACCCTATACTGAATTTACGACTGCATTACCGCCAGAACCTTCAGGTATACCTGCGACAGAATCACCAATGCCATCTGGTGTTCCGGCCCAGCCTACTGCAATCGTTCCCTCGATGTCGGTAGGAGTGTCAGTACCAGAGGCACCAACTGGTAGCCAACCATCCTATCCCCATAGAGAAACTACGACGCCGTTCCCGTCAGTACCAACAGTGGTTCCAACCACAGAAACAGTATCATCTGGTGTTGCAGGTCAACCTACCGTTGTTGTTCCGTCAGTATCAGTTGGTGTATCAGTGCCAGAATCACCAACCACCAGCCCACCGTCTTTCCCCAATTCAGAATTGAAGACTGAATTACCACCAGGGCCCTCGGGCGTTTCTGCAACAGAGTCATCTATGCCGTCTGGTATTCCCGGTGAGCCTACTGCGGTCGTTCCTTCGGTGTCTGTAGGAGTCTCATTACCAGAGACCTCGACTGCTAGCCAGCCATCTTATCCTCAAGGTGAATTCACGACGCAGTTCCCGTCAGCTCCATCAGTGGTTCCAAATACAGAAACAATACCAGCTGGTGTTTCAGGCCAACCTGCGATTGTTGTTCCATCAGTATCTGTTGGTGTCTCAGTGCCAGAGTCACAGACCAATGGCCCACCGTTTTCTTCTCCGTCAAAATTTACGGCTTCATTTTCACCTGGTGTTTCCTCAGCTGTGCCACCACAAGTACCGCCTTCCGAAACACCAGGTCAACTAACGTTTCCTTCGAGTGTTTCTTCTTTCCCAACAACAGAGGCGTCGCTTCCGTCGGAGGCATCGGGTGAGCCGTCAACTGTTTCTCCATTCGCATCATTGGGTGTGTCCGTGCCAGAAGGAGGGACGCAGCCAACGCTTCCTGCTGAAGAGGAGAGTGGAACGAAGACCCCATATTTCGGAGTCCCTTCGAGTGCGCCATTTCAACCAAGCATAGCTGCTCCTTCTATGTCGGCAACTGTGTCGGTGCCACAGTTTGCTGCGAGTTCACCATCATTTACACCAGTGACAGGCACGCTTTCATCTGCCATGACTGTTATTCCAACAAGTGAAGTGTCTTTGCCTCGTGGTGTTTCTGGCGAGCCTACTGCCATCGTTCCGTCATCTTCAGTTGGTGTTTTTCTATCTGGTCCTTCGCTTTCTCCTGGAGAAATAAGCTCCCATTTTCCGCCGGGTGGTTCTGCTGTTTCCACGACGGAGGTATCTTTGCCATTTGGTGTAACAAGCTTTCAGGGTGTCCCGGTGCCGTCATACTCAGTAGGTGTTTCAGTGCCAGAAGTAGCGACTTCCACTGCGGTGCCACTTACTGTTGAAACTCGTACGTTGCCCAGTGGTTCCATAGCATCAGAGACGGTGCCGAAAACCCCAGCGCAAATGCCGTCAACATTCCCACATGGTACACCAGTGGTTATGACAACTCTACCATCAGTTCCGATGGGTCCATATGTTCCCAGGGGAACACTGCCCACGTCATCCGTGAAAGTAAACGTTGAAACTGAGACTACGCCACCATCATTCGCATCTGTTGAACTCTCCACGAACGTGGGTTTTCCATCTGGTCTTCTTCCAACATCTGTGGTCGCAGTTTCTGAAGCAACAGTCGGTGTTTCGGTGCCATCTACATTTGTTCCAACTGTAGCTACGCCAACGACGCCATCTTTTCATGGAACCAAAGTAGCAAATACTTTCACGTCCACTCAGGTACCACACCAGACGGGGCCTGAAGAACCGATCAGCACAACTCCCAGTTTCATTACACCAGAAACTGAAGATATCTGGGCCTTGTTGGTCATCATAAGGACCGACTTGAAGATGTACAAGGTTAATGCTACTGTACTTCATACTCTCTTGATAAAGGCTACAATGATAGGAAGCCATGACGCTTACACCATCATACTTCTCGCCTTAAAGGACCTAAAGGTTACGTGCAAGTACTTGGCGCCTTCGGAGAGGATTAAGGTCGCATACGAAGTCGCCCATTACCTGAAGTCGCATGGGACGAGAATCGCACACGATGTTGTTGTGAAGGCTGTCGGTGTCTTCCTCTGTGCCGTCGACCACAAGGACATAATAACAAAACTGCTTTCCGAAAACACTTATATGATCTCTATTTCCGAAAGTGTAGCAAGTGAGCTATCGTGCCCAGACATGGAACACTTAGTCCACCTGCTCTACGCCGACCGGAACCGGACGAAAATTGAAGAGTCTCCATGCGCCGGTATCCTCTGTGAAGAGGTTCCAGAGAACGTAATGGACACTATAGACATGCTCGTTGACAGGTACTTCCCCCAGAAAGCCCACGAGAAGAAGTGGCTTATGCTAGACATTGCGAAGGCGCTTAACCTACAGCCCGAAGAAGATGAAGAGGGTGACGAGATGGTCTACTACAAGATGGGCGACTACGACGTCTTTTTGGAGGAACTACGGGAGCCCACCATTTCCGACGAAGAGAAGGCCCTGCTGTTCGGAAAGTTCTTCGCCGAAGTACGCAAGGTTGCCAAGGCCGAGCGCAAGCTCAGGCTCGACGACCTGGAAGAAGTCTGGAAGATGGGTGGCGGCAAGCTGCCACAGCCCGCGGTGAGGTCGTTTATAGCTCTTCTAAAACTCGTTCACAGCAAGAGAATATCTCTGAAGACCGAAGAGAGGATCCGTCTGTTGAAGCTTGCACTCAGGTGTGATGGTCACGAGTGCACGAAGCTTAGCTCCAGTGACATCCACAACCTCATCTTCGCGTTGTGCAATGTGGGAATTCGCGATGGTTTCGGTCTTCCGAAGGAACTGAAGAGCCAAGTCACAAAGTTTATACTAACGCTGAAAGACAGTTACATCGATTCGATATCGATAAGAAGGTGGAAACGCAGTTCTAGCCTTCTGAAACCTAGGTCGCACGATTATCTTTCAGCCAGCTCTCCATCCGAGCTGCGATACCTGAAAGACTGGCTCCAGAAACCCATGGCTATTGCACAGAAGCAAGGGCTCCTAAAGAACACGGGACGTTCTAATGATGACCCATCTGGCAGCAAAGGGTCTGCACTCTCGCAACTTTACAACGCCTACGTAAATGAAAAAAGGCCGGACATTAAGACAGTGCTCGCTGAGCGGTTGCTTGACACATACAACGATTCTTTCAGGCATCTCGGTTCTGAAATCGAAGACACCAAAAAGTTCGTGCTTACTGTTGTTCAGCAGCTGCCGTTGACGTCTTCCAGGCACAACGACTTGGTCCTGGGCATTCTAGAACAATGCATTCGACGAGGCAGCCCTTGTCTCAACATTAGTAGCAGCGAGAGCATAGCACCCCTGAAGGTAATACTACAAAACATGTCGCTAAAGCAAAGTCCGAACTTCGTCCCAAACCTAATTCACCAACTTTTCGCCGCTGCGAAGAAGGCAAGAACCCACGTGGACTTGTCATGGCTGACCAACAATGGCTCAGCGCGCAGAACGTTTCAGACGAGAGTTCCACACCTGCTTGAAACACCGTCTAGAGCTTACAGATTATCCTGAAACACAAGTATCGAATTTAGTACGCACTAAAATCATTCTACTATGCCCGCGGCGAACGAATCTATCGCTAATATTGTTTATTTGTTTGATAGTGTAATAAACCCCTCCGGTGTTTTTTCTTCTTCCTTTTTGTCATTGTTCCCCAAGTTTTGCGCATGTTCCCGTGACATGCGGTGTACAGACCAGCAAATGTAACAGAATCGGCTAATGTACAGCAAATAAAGAAGAAAGAAAATACTGGCGTCCAAACCTGCCGGCCCGGTAAAAGAGAAATAAAGAATAGTCCGGAAATTTCCTGTTTCGTTTTTTTGCGTATTTGTTTCTCGTGATAGAACACGTGACTCTTCTTGTCATGCTGAATAAGAGTGACCAAGTAAGAAATGCGTACGTATCTTTGCCTACACACACCAACAGAACAAAAAGAAATGACAGCATACCCACGTAGTAAATGACGATGAGTGGGGCGAAGCGTCCGCCCGTCCATCCGTCCGTCCGTCCATCCATCTGTCTGTGCATAAACTGTGGTCGGTACGCTGGAGGGACGGACTGCCCAAGACCATAAGGAGCTTCGACATTAAGAACAGTAATTTCTTCCTGCACACATCTCTAACGTTAAGGAATTGAAGGATACCTTGTAATTTCCGAAGTGTGTTCGGTAAATGTCTGTACCCATTGAGACGGGATTGATCCGAATAGAGGGGGATGCGCTATCGCCCCTCTTTCGTGATTGGACACGCTGGGCACAGTGAGGCTACGCAAGCAAAGCGCGAGCGCTGTGTAGCCTGACGCGAGGCGCCGTTGGCACGCCCCGACGGCCACCTGGCACAAGGCCAGGCCACGCACGCACGCGCGAACGTACGGACGTACGGACGGACCGATATAAGCATTAGCCAATGAAGGCTTTCGTCTTAATATTGTTTGCTGCTGCTTCCGCGCGAGGACAGGGGCACGGCCGCCACGGCGGCTGCAGTCACTGCAGATTGCCTCTGTCGGCGCCGCTGCCGCTGGGAGGCGCCACTTACCAGCAACGAGTAAAGTCACTTTAGCGACGAGTTGGCTGACCAGCTTTGGGCAGTACAGCAAGCCGAAGAGGCTGCTCAGGTCCAAGGACTTCGAGGGGTCACGTCAGGCACCACCATCATCACTGATGGAGATTGGAACAGGACAGGGGTTAATCCTGTATCGTTCCGGCCACTTCCGAAGAAAACTGCCGAAACAGCTCTAAATAAAGTTCATTCAGTCCTTCATGAATATATATATATATATATATATATATATATATATATATATATATATATATATATATATATATATATATATATATATATATATATCGGTGGCAAGTTATTGAACATATTAACAAATGGGAACGCTTCCTAAGCTTTATACTTTAACTTAACATGTCGTTATTGGTCTTGTTGGTTCATAGGTCAAATAGACAAGCTCGAACTGCACGATGAGACAACGCATAAAAACACAGAGAACGTCTGTGCGGGATTTGAAGTTACGCGTGGTCTTTGCGCAGCTTACGTTTCTCTGCTGAATACTGTAACTACGCTGCTTTACGTAACGCTTTTACTAACGCCCACTATACAGGTGAAATCATCTCTTCAACGCTCGAAATTCGCAGCGCTGTAATTGCCGAAACTAACATTCACTACCAGTCCTACTAAGCTATCATCATTCAAGGCGGCAGTAAACTACCCGAACGCATCCTAAACGAACTAGTCCTGTTAGCGTGCAAGCTGTCGGTTACCATTCATTTTACCTGCATAACCTGCCTTTCATAGTATGCACCTTATTGCCCATTGCGTTTTTTAACGCATTTACATATTTTCTATGATTCATGTTACTCGTTTCCTTTCGCTTTCATGCTGCTTTCTGGAAGCGAGCCGCCGTTCCGTGCATTTAACGCGTGTGCACCTGGTTAATGCAACATACCGATATGAGAAAATTAGAAGCTGAATAAATGATCATGGTTATAATGATACAGCTGTCACACAAAAATTATGGAAAAGGGGCAGAACGTATTCACGCCGCAATTGAGTTATCTCCCTGCGTTGTCTCTCCTGCTAACCAAACCAACAACTTTGGTTTGGTTAGCAGGAGAGGCTATATACGCAAGGAGGCAACGTGGTTGGTTTAGTTGTGCATTTCAGAACTTATGTCAATCACAACCATATATGAAATAAACATACGACGAGAACAAGAAAACACTTGAATAAACTACATTTCTTTTATTTGAAACAAAATGATAAATCTATCAGCGAACTTCAATAGAAACATTGGTCTAGGTTAAGTTAGGTTAGGATGTTGTAGTTAGGCGGCGGATGTAAGCTCGCATAATTTGCAGGCACTTGCCCTGCCTGCTTTCCTCTTTGCTAATTGTAGCTAATGTCCTTTGTTTCTTTTTTAATAAAGCACGAGCAGGCTCTTAAAATAAAAAAATCGTACATTGTGTTTGGTGTATGGTGCAGCGAGATAGAGTACCGGCGCAATACTGAATGAGGAAATATTGGTCTACTCTACACCTCAGTATGAACGACAGGCACTGCTAGAGGCAAAAGTGAGGTGTTTCATACTTTTCGTCGAAATTTCAAATGCGAAACATTTCTTTGCGAACTGCAGACACTTTGAGCGTTTTTATCCATAAATCTATTTAGCCGCCTATTTGCGGGTGCTTTCGTGATCCCCTCCTTAACTTGGGAGTCATATATGTCAGCGACCCAGGTGGTCGAAATTTCTGGAGCCCTCCACTACGGCATCTCTCATAACGATATGGTAGTTTTGGGAAGTTAAATCTCACAAGTCAATCAAATCATATGCGTCAGCGAACTCACTCGTGAGACGACCCTCTTGTACTCGCTCAGACTCAGATTGAGCCCCGAGTCTGAGCGAATCCGGGTGAGTAATATGCTTGGCGAGTTTGAGTCCGAGTGGCTGTGGATGAAGAAAACTTTGGTGATTGGGAGTCCTAGTGAGTTCTAAGCGCAAAACACATTTAACGAGGGAGTCTTTGTGAGCTCTACAATATTTGCCGACCTTAACTCCTCTTCGCTTCTATCTATTTACTTCCTATTATTCTCCCTGTCCCCCCCCCCAAGTGTGGGGTAGCCAACCGAGCCAAGCTTGGTTAACCTCCCTACCCCCCCCCCCCTCTCTCTCTCTCTCTCTCTCTCTCTCTCTCTCTCTCTCTCTCTATATATATATATATATATATATATATATATATATATATATATATATATATATATATATATATATATATATATATATATATATATTCACTCCGACGAAGGCAGGCCCACCTGCCGAAACGTTAGTAAAACTAGTGTTTTTTCGCACGTTTGTCGACCTCTTTTTATACTGCATTTTCCACCGGATCCATTGAATATCACCCCACCATATATATATATATATATATATATATATATATATATATATATATATATATATATATATATATATATGTATATATATATATATATATATATATATATATATATATATATATATATATATATATATATATATATATATATATATATATATAATCCCGCCACCTATATACGGCGTCAATCTCTTTCCTTCAGGCACGTGTGGACAGATATCCGCGACACAGGCCTGGGTATGTGGGCATGCGCCACGGGTGATTGACAGTTTACAGCTCTACCCATGGAGCGGTGAGAACATACGTGGGTGAAGTAAACGCGAGAGCGTTAAGAAAAATCGACATCGGCAGCGTTGACACGACGAATGCAAAGAAGAAGTGTCAGGGTCCCAGAAGAAATCAAATCCATGCATTCAGCGTGGCAATCAAGTATTCTGACGAAATATTAGCAGCGCAAACTAATGTGACGCACAAAGAGAGGCGAACTGCGCTTGTTTGTGTGTTATTTTGCGTCCCGTGCCAGTATCTCACTATAAAACTATAAGAACTATAGGCTGCTTTAGACCACCACGGCGGTTAACTCGGCGTGGTTCAGGGGTCTTTTATAGGCAACTATAAGACCCGTTCTACCAATACGTCACAAGTGACGAGTACACGAGACGTGGGAAGAACGGTCAGGCTCATAGAACGCTGCACCGCCGTGCGCTTCGGCAGCCGCAGGTGCATTGACAATTTTATACGGCGGTCATAATAATGTGCTATTCAACTGACGGTTCTCCTGACTGCAGTGATTGCCGTGTTATACGCTTGTCGTGCTTCGAATGGCGTTCTTCGGTTGACGGGGTGCGCACACCCGCCGGCAAAATAAGTCAGGACGTGCGATCGACGACGCAGTGTACTAAGTTTGGAGTCTTGGAAAGTGCCATGTCTGTAAATGAAAGCGCAAGCCGGCACCTCATCTCCACATTCCACTCCGCTACACGGCCGTCACCGGAATCGCCATACCACAGTTTGTAGAACGACGCGTGTGCGTGACTTAGAATATACCGAGCCCAGCGATTAGTGAAGGAGGGGCACGCCGGATAGATGTGTGGCCGATGGATAGGACGTACGAGCGTTATCAGGCGTGACAGACATTCTTGATTGGAAAGTGGCGCGGGCCGGGTTATAGAGCCGGCGCCCACACGGTGACCGTTTGGGAGAGGATATAGATAAGGTTTGGACACTTGGGTGAGGAGGGCTGGACACTTTGGAGAGGATATGGAGGAGAGTGTCGCTACTTCCTCTATTAAGAGACTTCAGAGAAAACTGCATCACCGCGCCATCTGACGTGGTGAGTGCACATGCGCGTCTTTTCATTTCACGTCCATATCTTTTTACTCGCTTACAGCGGACTAAGTTATTACACGTAGCGTTGTGCGCCAGGCGTCGCTTTCTTCGCTCCGTGACGCGCTCAATTCTGCGGGGACATGGTGGCCGTGGAGGGTATGCGGCTGGCTATGCCCTGATTAAACACATACCATCTTTTGTCTCAGTGGCAAACCGGCACCACAGTCATCCTTATGTCTGACGCCTAGCGCGAAACGTTATACGTGTAATCACCTAATCGGCTGCGAGCTAGTAGCGAGATATACCCTCGTATTCTAGAACGTCCCTCAGCTCAACGCTTCACCTGCACTTGAGAAGGCCGATTGGAGCGCCGTCTCTAGGCAGGGAAAGTCACTGCATATCAGCGATAATCTGCCACGATTCTATAGTAGCGCAGCGTCACTTTCAGCCGAGCAGTGGCGCAGTGCTCAACTCTGTCAAGTGAAGGGTGAAAGTCGAGTCGAGGAGCGTTTGTGAATACGGGGGTTAGATGTGAAAATGGAAGGAAGCGCATGCGCACTCACCACGTCAG